ATTAATTAATTAAATAAAATAAATATATATATATATAATAAAAACGAACATATTATATATCTTACACAGTAACAACGCACACGTTTTATTTTCATCTTCTTGAAAATTTTCCAATCGTTATTACATTTCCATATATATATATATTATTGTCGATGGACGCAATTTCTATAACAATCGTTACGATTCAGCGTAGTAAGCTGGTTATTTCTATGGAAACGGTAAAAATAAATGAATGATCAAAAAAAAAACGAAAATTGTAAATAATAAAGGAACTCGGATATATTTTGTTTCATGAAAGATTCATTGTACAGAGAAAACAAAACAAAAGAAGAAAAAAAAAACAAAAGTTTGAAGATATGGCACTAATGCGTTACACGAGTACTATTGCTACTACGGTAGCCACCTGCGATCGCGTTCGGTGGGCGTGTAGGGAATCGAAAAGTCGTCCATGCATGATGATGATGGTGGTGGTGGTGACGACGATGATGATTCCTTGACGTAGGATCTATTAAGTCTACAAAACACAGAAACACATCAAATGCAACGGAAATGCAATTATCGCCAATTCGATTATCGATCTCTATTTAAATATAAAAGAAACCACATCGTGTCTCCGCCGCGATCGTTAATTAATAGCTAACTGCTACACCAACACACCCATGTTTCATCCTGTTTTTTTTTTAAGTACAAAAATAAATTAAGAAGAGATACGATTTGACTAGCTGCGAATTATATATATATATAAATAATACTGTCCCGTCCGTTCGTCGAAGCGGTTTTTGTGCCACGGAAAATCGTGCGTTTCCGCCAAAGCCTTCGGTCGAAATGCAAGCACCTCCTCCTCCCCGCCCCCCACACACCAAAAAAGCAAACAAACATCGTTTTGCCGTGAGGGACTGACCTAGTGTGTATGTGTGAGTGTACTTAAAATTGTAATTATAAATAAATATATATATTATGTATCTTTGGTATAAGTCGTCCGATTGTGTTACATCGTTTAGCAAAGCGAACGTTTGTTTGCGTGTTATATATTTGTATTAAGGTTGGTTCGGTTTAGTAGACGGGTTTTGCTGATTTGGGTAATTGTTTAACTCTGCAAAAAAAAAATGAAACAATATTAAATACCAACACCCAAATTTAGTTTTATAAAGTGTTGATTACGAATTGAATTAATTTGTATGGTTATACTCACTTGTTAACTTCGACCATATTTCTTGCGGCCTTATTGTAGCGTCCCTCTAATTCCGTCTTGGAGATGCCGCGTCCGGTGAAGCCGTGCGGCGCTAATTTCACGACGATCCTGTTGTTCTCTGCGTCCTGCCGGATGACGTTCTTCACGGCGGCCTTGACCTGCGGACAGACGGTGGGTCTAGTGTATTCCTGCGTCGTGCGTAGAGGAAGATCGAGCTTCAGGTCGAGGATGTTCTCGGCGCGATACCGCACTCCGGTCGACGGGATCGCGTGGGCGATCGTGTAATCTGAGATGGGACGACGGTAGTCGTGCGCCAGAGGCCTTTCCGCCGGATTGAACCAGCGTTTCTCCTTCTTCAAGATCCAATTGTCGGTGTCCTCGTTGAACTGCGCCAAATTCAGCAGCTTCGAACGTTCCTCCGATGGCACGAAATTCTCTAGAATGAGCAGAGTCTGCCGGAGGTGCATCGTGGCATCGTCGCTGGCCTCTGTCAGATCCTGCCGCTCCTTCAGGTAGTTCTCGTGGTTATCTTTGACCTCCTGCTTGACGGACTGCAGTTTGCCGTGCAACCGCTTCAACTTCTCCCTTTTGAAGTCCACCTCCTGCTGCAGCGTCTGGAAGACCTGCTTCAGCTCCATGCACGATTCCTCCTCCAGCTCCAGCTGCTGCTGCATCTCGACCTCGCGCTTCTTTCGCGCCGCAATCTCAGACTTTTGTTTCTCCAGCTGGATCTCGTTCTCGTTGACGCTGTCCACGATGTTCTTGCCACCGTGCACCATCTGCTTTTCGAGAGTTCGCAACTTTTTGCTCAGTTCGTCTATTTCCATCTTTCCTTCGGCGATTTTCTTTTCGCGTTCGCGCTTCTCCGTTTCGCCTGCCTCGCTGTCCGAGGAGGATCCGGCCGCATCGGCATCGATGTCGTCGACGCTCAGGGTTGCATCCGGATCGAATTTCCCGTTGCTCTTCACCATGATCAGTTCGCGTAACCGTTCGATCTCGCTCTGCAGGTCGAGCAGTTTGGCGTCCTTGCAGTCCTCGTTCTTCACCGGTTGATTCTTGATCGATTTGGCGCGGTAAGCGTATCGCAACGTGATGATCGTCTCGTCGTAATTGTCGCTGGCCGGGCCGATGTTCGCGATCATTATTGTTTTGCTGTTGCCGCCGAGCGAATCCTGCAGAAGTCTCGTCAACTTCGAATCTCTGTATGGAATGTGCGAGGAGTTCTCTGCTAGCGCGTAGATCACGTTGCCCAGAGCGGATAGACTCTTGTTGATCTTGGTGGCCTCCTTCAGACGGTTTCCCGTCGCTCCGGTCTTTGCTTGCCGTTCGCTTCCTGCCAGATCGATCAAATTAAGTTTACCCACTTTGACGCTCTTCGTGTCGCCTTTAGCCATCTCTATCGAGATCTGGAAGATCGCGTGAGACCTGGAGCTGTGCTCGTTCATGTTGGTGGCGCCTGTCGTCCTATTGTGGTTACCCACCTTCATCGCTTTCAACATATCGTGAGCGCTCTGGCACGTCTGTGAGTGTAGATGCGAGACGAACACTCCCTGCCCGGACATCTCGCGTAGCTCCAGCGGTTTCGAGTTCTTCGACTTGAGCAGATCGCGGATGTCCTCCATGTAGATCTCCAGGTATCTGACGCTAACGAGGAATTCGGTGCCGGTGGTTCGATCGATGTGCGCCCAAATCTGATCGAACACTCTAGGTATGACTCCTTTACTTTCCTCGCTGTTGCCGCCGCCCTCCATCGTGAACGTCTTTCCCGTTCCAGTTTGTCCGTACGCGAAAACGCACCCGTTGTAACCCTCCAGCACCGAGGACACGAGCGGCATGATCGTCTCATCGTAGATGCTCTGCTGCGAAGAGTTCCAATCGTAAACGCCGTCGTACGTGAAGATCTTGCTCTCGCTTTTCGATTTCGGATGTTCAACCTCGATCACTCCTCTCTGCGCGTACACATTTACGACGGTGCTGCAATCGGCCGCCTCTTCCTTCTGGTTGATCGGTCTGCATCGGACGATCACCTGCACCGACTCATTGTTCACGCTCCTCGTCGCGCTCTTCTACAAAAAACAATACAAATCAATTAATTACCGCATTCCATTAAACATTACACAACATTCATTATTCCCAATTAATTATTACAATTCACACTTTTTCTTTTCCATTTCAAAATTGCAACTGCACTCACTTGCAATTACATCTACTAATCCAACTGTGAATCATTTCTAAATGAAGAAATAGACGTTTTCTTTTCTATAGTAGGCCAAAACATTAATAATAAAACAATATTACAACAAATTTGTTCGAAATGTCAAACACATGACGCACACTCGACAAAATTTCACTTTAACATATTAAGTTCATTTTAACATTATATTAAAAAATAAAAATTATACATTGGAATGCGAATGCGAATGAAATGAACAAAAAATTTAAATTTAATTTCGTGTGATTACAGCAGAATCGCGTGTCGTGTTCGCTGACTGCGCGACGATAAAAATATTTAACACAAGCCGGCCAAAAATAGCCAAAAAAAAAAAAAAAAATAAGTTTCGAGAAACTTGCTCAAAACCCTAGGCAATCCCGATTTCTCACTATTCGCATGATACAAATTAGTCATTAGTCTATATATTTCGTAGAATTCAATTACTTGTGAAATATATTTAGAACATCTGCACAACTATATTATGTTATAATAAATAAATAGAATGATGCAAACAATTTATTAGATACGTTTAAAAATAGCTAAAAAAAAAAAAAGGTTGGGCGAATCTAAATTGGTTGATACAATTGTTTAAAATTAGCGCAGCCTTGGATGGAAATTAATATTGCTAATGTGTGTTAAATGAATTAAGCAAGTTAGAAGAATGAATGAATATAATTTGAATAGAACGCTTCTGCTCCGAATTTAGACGTCCTCGACATAATTGGTGATGAGATAATCTATAAATTTATACTTAAAAATAAAAGAAGAATTGAATATGCGCGTGAAAAGTAAACTTTTATGTAATGTGTGTGTGTGTTTAAATATTAGCTAACAAATATTGGGTGCGACGAGGAGAAGGATCAAGCGTGTTCGCTGCTAGGAGTTGCACTCACCATGACTACCAGAACAAAACAAAACAAAATAAAAACAAAGAGGCAGAAGGTGCTGCTGACCCAAAGCAAAGATGGGAATGACGATGATGATGATTGTTGTTGTTGGTGTCTGCTGGCCAAATAGAGAAATGAGCGGAAATGTGAAAGTGGAAGTGGCCAATTTAGGACTGGATTAATATGCATAATATGAGTGTACAGTGTAGTGTTTATTGCCTTAACAAAACTATTGTGTAATAGTGAATCAGAGGAGAGACGACGACGATGAAGAGAACACAAGCAAGTTCGAAACTGCACGCAACTCACCGGAGGATTCAAAGTTCCTGCAGAAGCTGCATTACCATCGGCAACCTCCATCTCTTCCACTCCACCTGCTGTTCTTTATGTACAGATGATTCGGATTCAGGTACCTCAAACTTCTAATGTCATCTCGCAGACTTTCGGAGAGAGGTTAAATTCGCTCTATCGCCAAAGACACCCACGGACAAAACAAAATACTCCTCGCCACCTCGAATTATTGATTTCCATTTGCCGCTGCTCGCACACTGCGCACGTACAAAAATTTGAAAATAACATCCGCCACTGACATCTGGTATCGCGAAGCCCAACTATCATCAGGTAAATCGTGATAGGCAACCAACATACCAGTGATTAGAAATTCAAATTTATTATTTTCCTATATATCATGTTTTGCTGGCTAAATCTAAAAGTACACTGAAATCAATTTCCAAAAAAGAGATATATCTCATAAAAAACAGCTCGGAACGTGGATAACCTCGATTCTTGTGAACGAATTGCATACATTTTCCTTTCAATGTTAAATGCAATGCAAATGACATTTTATCTTTCAGCTAATACAAATGATCACTTATGCTGCTAATTAAGAATCTCTGATTTGAGCAGCATCAAAAGTGCTGAACTATAAACTTCGCAATATGACCAACAGATGACCAAAATAATCTCTAAGTTGAGAAACACATCATCACGATGATGGGTTTGCAACTATTTTGGCGCTCCTCTTGTTTCGAAATTAGAATTAAGGGCCTTCCTTGCAAATACGATTTAGAAAAATTGTGCGGTGCTAAATAAAAAATAAAATTCAGCTTTCATACGAGTGGTCGATGATGTAATTATCTAGTGGGGTTGTCGAGATATTCACGAAAAACTGAAAAAAATTGGGAAAAAACGTCGTTTCTCTATTACGTAACGAACATTACGTAACTTCTGTTACATAAAAAGATGCGCAATACTTGCGTCCATCTGATTATGCATTAAAATCATAAAAAAGTTTATTACTTTTCGAGTTATTTACAAAAATCTAGTTTTTGTGCAAATTCAATTCACTTTCTTTCCAATTTCTACAGCTCATAGCAGGCGACACGGCGGCAGTTCGAAGATGTCAGTAGGCTCGTTGGAAAGGTGAGACATTCAGCTTTCATACGAGTGGTCGATGATGTAATTATCTAGTGGGGTTGTCGAGATATTCACGAAAAACTGACAAAAATAGGGAAAAAACGTCGTTTCTCTATTACGTAACGAACATTACGTAACTTTTGTTACATAAAAACTTGCGCAATACTTGCGTGTATCTGATTATTCATAAAAAAGTTTATTACTTTTCGAGTTATTAAGGAAAATCTATTTTTCTGGTAAATTCAATTCACTTTTTATTTCTAATTTCTACAGCTCATAGCAGGTGACACGGCGGCAGTTCGAAGATGTCAGTAGGCTCGTTGGAAAGGTAAGACATTCAGCTTTCATACGAGTGGTCGATGATGTAATTATCTAGTGGGGTTGACGAGATATTCACGAAAAACTGACAAAAATAGTGAAAAAAACGTCGTTTCTCTATTACGTAACGAACATTACGTAACTTTTGTTACATAAAAAGATGCGCAATACTTGCGTGCATCTGATTATGCAATAAAATCATAAAAAAGTTTATTACTTTTCGAGTTATTAAGGAAAATCTAGTTTTTGTGCAAATTCAATTCACTTTTTTTCCAATTTCTACAGCTCAAAACAGGCGACACGGCGACAGTTCGAAAATGTCGGTAGGCTCATTGGAAAGGTGAGACATTCAGCTTTCATACGAGTGGTCGATGATGAAATTATCTTAAGAGGTTGTCGAGATATTCATGAAAAACTGAAAAAAACCTAACCTAACCTAACCTA